ATTTTTGGTGTTCGTAAATTCTTATTGTTGCCGCCTCTTGATAACTCACTAATTATCACGGTGACTATGTTTTGGGTAAAAAAGAAAGAAATGTGCTGATTATGCTCGGATTTTGAGTTTAGTTGACGTAAGGAGTAAATAAGCTGATTTAAGCTATATGGTTGATTGAATTTTAATATATGACCCGAAAAATGTCTTGCTAACAAAATTTCTTTATTGAATTATATTTTAAAAATTTAAATTCAGGTTTATTTAAATAATTTCTTATTAATTAAGGTATTTAATTAAAATGAAATATTCATACAAAAGTTTTCTTCTTTTAACTTTCTCCACTGAAAATGACGGAGAATCCTGTTTTCAAAAGTCTTATTTAAAAGTCTGTGCTCGGATTTTGAGTATGTGTCCTTAAGTAATAAATAAACAATCATTTAAATATGTTATACTAAATATTCATATTAATCATCACAAAAAAAAATCATAAATAAGTTTTAATGTCAATAAAATGTATTTCTATAAATGTTTGAGCTCTAAAAATCAATATTCCTTTTTTCAAAAATATAAACAATTCCTTGCGAAGCTAAAATTGATTAAATAATTAGCCTATAATTAATACCAGTCAAATTAATTAATTAGTCTAGTATTAAATTAGTCTAATTTAATTAGATTCTAGGGGGATTTAGGTATGTAATTGAAATAAATTTGTAGTAATTTTTAGTAATTAAAATATGCCAATTACTCTTTAATTATAAAATGAATAGAAAATTCATGTGACGGAGGTTTTGATATACGAAAAAATTTTGATGCATTGTGATAATTTACTAACGATCGCTATTATTATGTTTAAGAAAAAAAAAATTGTTTTTTTCTGATAATGCTTAGTTTTAGTATTTTGAGTTTAGATTCTCTATATAAGATGATTATAGCGTTTTCGTTAGATGGTTTTTAATGGCAATAAAATATTTCTCAATAATTTTTCTCTTTTTTGTTAATCAGTATTCTTTATTCTTAAAATGAAATAAACTTTGAGGAAATAGTAATAGTTTTCCCTTTTATAGTTTCATTGATCGATATAGATATTTAGTTAAATTAAATAATCTATTTTAAATAATTTGTTATAACTTTGCAACATCCATTTAACAACTTTTTAATTATAAGACTAATACGACTGTAAGAAATCTATATGACCGCTGTTTTTGGGTTCTAAAATTGTATTGGTGTTGTCACGGGATAATTTACTAATTTTAAAAGATAAAAATGTTAAGGAAAAAAAAAAGAATTTCGCTGATAATTCTCCGATTTTTAGTTTATCTTTCGAAAAAGGCATGCAAGTTGATCCAAGCTATGTTGTTGATTTGTTCACAATAGCAAAAAATTATGTTCTGAGAATCCTATACTTTGCTTTGTTCCGGAATCAAATTATACTGTGAGAAATTAATTTACAGTTGAATTTTAATAATTTTTCATACTGGCTCAGATATTTTATTAAAGTAAATATTAATTTAAAAAATTTTAAATTTACAATTACTTTATAAAGACATAAAAATACTGTACCAAATTAGTTTCCTTAACTCAATATTTGTATAGACTGGTCAAAATCTATAAAAAGCGAGAAGTAATCTGGTGCTGAAAAATTATTTTAATTTTCATCCTTTTTATATTATTAATGTACTGTATAATATTTATTTAAAAACTGTATAACTTTCAAAAAATGTAGTTTTTAATTGAAAAAAAGAACTTGTTTTTCCCCAAAAATTAAAATTTTAAAATGCAATGTTTAAATTAAAATTCCCCCTCGTTTTTACAATTAAAAAAGAAAAGATGTCACAGTTCAATATTTTTTGAATGTCATATAATCGTAGAAAATTGTTTCAGGAAAAGAACTGATCGAGTGTCCTGAATTATAAATGTTTGGATTACTTATTGGGAAAAAAATGAAATATTTAAGACTCATAAAAGTATAAGTAATACAGTTATTAGTTTAGTTAAAGAATTCTGATTGATTTATTATCTATTATTCTCAGATATCAAGAATATAGAAAGGGGTGGTTTTACTTCCTGGGCCACATTTATATCCGGGGGATCACGAGTCACGTAAGTTCTACTTGCATTACCGTAGTGTAACGTGACACTGCTCCAACATTTCCCCACTTAACTGGAAATCTTCAAATTTTATGATTTTTCATATACTTACCCATTTAAAATCTAGCATTTCTATTGGATTTCACTATTGTTATATATTTCACAAATTGCTCTAAAATCGATTATAGGATTTACAGACTACCCACCCTCTTAACTATCAAGCATGGTGCTGGCTAACTTCAAAATTAAAAATCTCAGAAACAAAGGATGATAGATAATTGTAGCGACGATCGGTATGTTAATAGAGAAAGCTGTAATAATGTTATACATAAATTTTAGAATTTAGTAACAAACGTTGCCAACAGATGACACTGCATAATGTATAGAGTTTATTAAAAGAATACAAATGCCGTAGTACTGTAATCTGATCTACGATATTCTAGAACCAGGAATGTCTTTTTTAAATAGATAATTTACATAGTTTAAGAATGCATAGTTGAAATGTCCTAATATAGGAAAACAACTACATTTCATGTGAAAAGCGAGGATTGATAGCTCTGGTCATCGATGGTTTGCAGCGCCACCTGCTAATTTTTAAAAAAAATCTGCCTAAAATTTTGCAGATTTCTGAATAAGCTAGCCAGTTTCATTTCTCTATTATCCTTTGTTTCCAAGATTTTTGAATTTTAATTTTGAAAACCTCAAGATCCCAGCAAGAAAAATGGAAATAGAAATAAAGGTGAAAAACAAAACACGTAAAAACGATGTTAACGTAAAAAATGTAAAAACGTAAAAACGACACGTAAAAACAAACCAACTCAGGATAGAGTTCCTACTCTTTAAGAGGTATTGTCATTCATATGAATAAAAAAAGATTCCACAAGCCTTGGAAAGAGTTGCTAGTGTTATAAGAGGGGAAAGAATTTGACTTTATAGAAGTTACAGGTTTCAGGTGCGCCAAAAGAGGATTTATCAAATTATTTCAGCCACCATCACTCCCCTAGGCTACAATGACTTTTCTTGTTTAATGAAGCTTTTTCATTAAAAATTATATCTTTCCGGTTCAGTTTCTAAACATTTTTCATTTCATCTGCAATCAAAATTATAAAAGTGGTGTGTATTTTATGCAAAAGTAGCTATGCACTGCAAGATAACGTATCGAGGATCAATGGTTTGTATGGATCTTGTCTAACTTCTTCAGATTCTGAGGATTAGTAAAAACATGAGGAGACAGCTTAAATTTTCAGTAAAAGAAAAAAGTATACAGTTAATATTTCTATCTACTGTGAGACGATGCAATGCTGGAGAAAACAGTGAATAACAAAATTGAGGAACACCCATCCATTTATTACGAAAAGTCAACTTGCGTCATCTAATTCTTGGGACAAAAGTTTAAAGAACAACCATTCCTTGTTTCTGAGTATGAATATGATATGAAATGAACTTGGAAAGAAATAGATAACCTTTTTTTTTCGAATAATAAAATTTTAAAATCCGCAGAAAATACAAATTATTGTTTTTCTTTAGTCACAATTTAAACTAGATATAAGAAACAAAAAAATTTTGCTCAGGTGTTATGTTTTTAGTATCAATTACTTCTAGGTGTCAATTTGTATCTCATGAGTAAGGCTCTCGTAGCGTTTCCTTCTATCGCGTACCGTTTTTGGGATAAGTGAACTAACTTACTGTTCCACTGCGCTGCATTTTAAATAAATATATACATATATTTATTTAATATATGAATACATTAATATATAATATGTTATTAATATATTTAATATATTAATAATATATTATAGCACATAGCCATGTTACTATGTACTATTCACCATTCTTATAAACATAGCTGCAACGTTTGCGTTTAAAAGTATGAATGTTTATTTAAGCGGGTATGAATATTTATTTAAACAACATATATATGTTATTACAATATTATTTCACTATAATTTGAATACTGTTATTTTTCAATTGCAAAGATTGTATTTAACTTTTTTTTGGCAATTAATATCAATTATTTACCTCTTATTTGAAAATTTATAAGACTTCCCAGTATGCTTGCACAAAAGAGTAACTTGTACCAAATATCTTATTCTTGCTTTTTGAATTTTCATTCCTTTTAAATCATTACAAATTAGGACTTAACCGTGCAAAGGAAAGAAAAAGAATCAAAAGAGAATGTTTATGCATGAAATGTAATTTATTTGAGTTTAAAATCTATGCTCTTTAAACTAGAATTATTTAATTTTTGTTTAATATTTTCAACTTTTGAGAAAAAAAAATATTTGTACAGATTTTAGAAATTGGTTTGAACAAATTATGAAAGGCGCAAGGACAGTCATAGATTTTTTCATTATACTCCAACAGTTTGGAATAAAATAATGTTGATGGGATATTAATACATTATAGTTAATGTTTATGTTATGGTAGATCCAGTTAGTGAGCAAAACTCTAATTTGATGTAAACTCTAATTTGAGTGATGTAAAACTCTAATTTTTATTACCAATGGTCTTTGATAAGCTTACCAGAAGCATTGGCTGGTTATTATTATTATTTAGAAATAAAATATAGTTACATTTAAACTAATTTTGCATGGTTTATTCGAATTTCATTCTAGCGTAACTGTTGTGCTGAAATATTAAATTAATCAGTATACTTTGATAAAACATATCCTATATCATAAGTAGGCTTAATTATGATTTTTCACCAGCCATTTAATTTGTAACTAAGAGAATTTTATCTTTTAAGATTTAGAACAACAAATTCTAAGAATTTCTGGATAAAATCAGTTTTTTAATTTATGAATTATCTTATGAACATTACAATTTTTACAATGCAGACTTTTCTAGTAAAGATATGATTAACTTTATAACAAATGCTCAACTATTTTCTCCTAATTAACATGTTATTTCTTTTAATTCAGGTATCCAAGCAACTCGAGATTTCCGCATAGTTTAAATTCTGCAGAAGCGAGTTGCCTGTTTAAATATTCCTGCAAGTCACTGAAGGAGCCTCTTATGAAGAGAGAGAGGATGTACCACAGCATTCGTGCCTGCTTCACGTAAAGCTTGGAAAGAAATTCGAAGGGAACATCTGCAGCGCCTGAATAACTTTGACAAACTCCCATAATGCCCCAGTTTGCGTGAAGCTAAAGGTGAAAATTTTGCATTATGAACCTCAAAACTGCATTCCTTAATCTCCTAAAATATTTAGTTAAAGTTTGACGGAATATTGTAATTCATTTAAGAGGCATTAAAATGAAGTAATTTGTTAATTTTTAAAATAAATTTAATGATGCGTAAAAAATATTAAATTAATCATTGAGCTGTTTGTTAACTAAAATTTATTTATATATTTTTCATTCTTATTAATATTTAAAATGTTGAGTAAAATTTGGCTAAGATAAGATGATTAACTTAACACAGAAGAAAATCATTTCTCATTGAAAGGGAATAATTTTAGCTTCATGGCATTAATAAAATGACTATAGTAAAATTACTTGCAAATGTAATTTTGTTACTACGGTTCCAAAATGTATAATAAGTTTCGCATTGGTGCCATAAACACTAGTGTTTTATTAACTTGTTTTCGTGGGTAAAAAGGAAATCTTAAAGCAAATTTTGTCTGCCTTTTGACTATCTAGGCTATTAAAACTTTAAATGAATCTTTGGGCTATAAAAACAATAAATTTTCAATCCTTTTCTAATCACTACGAGCAGAATTTATTGCAATTCTATCGCCACATGGAATTTATCATCAATTGAAATTCTGAACACTTTACTACCAACTAGATCACTTAATTTATAACTAACATTCTGTGTCGGATAACATTACAGTTTTTTATCGATTCCAGATCTATACAAGTAGAATTTTTGTTATAGTATCTGAAATAGAACTTATAATCAATCAATTTCCGACTCAATCAATCAATTTCTGACTAGATGAAGCAATCAAATGTCAACTAGATCTCTGTGCTTGAAGACAATTTAAGTTTATATCGCTTAATACACATATGCAGAAGCTTTCGTGATCCTTTTGAGAAACAGCAAGTATTGTCAAGTAAAGTTTTGACTGCTTTCTTTCTAGCTAGAGTGATTTGATCTCAACTGGAGCTTTATTTTACCACATTCAACTAAAATAATTAAAAACCCGAAAAAAAGATGGTATTCAAAGTGATAATCTTGAGAAAAATCGGTTATTGACAGTCTTCACCTATTACGGTTAAATGAACAGAATTTTATCAGCAAAAACTAGGCCCACAACTATTGAGAATAGAGCGCATGTTCATTGAAAGCTAGAAGATAATCACGTGATAAGCATTACGAAATCATACTTTTACTTCAGTCATCGTATGCCTAACACAATAGCGAAGGCCTAATAATCCTATCGTAATAAATGTGCAGTGAACATCTTATGAAGCCACTTTGTTCTTCGCAACTGGTTTCATACTTTAGGCAAAAGGCTAAAGGGTTAATCTGTCCATCTCAGGACCGGCTAAATAAATGTCCAAATCCCAGCATTAACACGACAATATTTCTTCTATTTCTACAATACAATGAGGTTTGATGGCAGCACCACAGTATACTGTTTAACACAAGAAAATCTAATATTTTCGATTTACCAGAGATAGTGTCACTAGATTAACTTTATAATCAATACTTCAAAGTTCTCTTGAAAAAAATAATCTCATCCTTAATCTAACTGCAATGTTCATTACCTAATGTAAAGATTCACATAATCTAACTCTAATATCCAGTTAAATTTTATTTTTGTGTTTTAAAATCATGGTATTTGTAAATAGTGACGAAACCGTATACTTTGGTATTCACGGTTTTTCAACCATACCAGTTGCAGACAGATTCAAACCAGTAAAGGTACAAAAATGATTCTAACCGTAAACTTTACGGTTTATTGGATGGACAAACAGTTTACACTTTTATTGCCGTAATTTTAGTATGAAATTTCTAGCTGCATGAAGTTATGAATAATATCATAACAAGCAATTTTAATCCATTGCCGAAAATATTCGGGACAGATGAGTCTACTTCCAGTCTCGGCCCATTAATACGAAGAAATAAACAATTTTCACAGCGTGTTCTATGTTCAGAAAAATAAGGTCGTCTCTGACTCCAAAGCTATTTTACCATAGTTCAGCTGGAATTTTCTGACGAATAGTAATAATAATATATCTCGTACTTTTGGGCAGTACAGCCCAGAGCAAGTCAAAGATGGCTTAAGGAGATTTTTTTGATCAGAATCTACAAGATGCACCTAATTTCCAATTAGTCAGCTTTGTTATTAAATGTTCCAATTCTCAGATGCATATTCATGCTAAGTGTACTGGGTAGATTTCGCACTGTTTTAACTCTTTCAGATTTTATAACTATTTTTTATTGGAATAAGTAATTAGAACATTGCCCAAACACTAACCTGAATTACCTGGGAGTCTAGCCTTGGTGTCTTCCTTCTAAACCTGTTAGGTCTGGGTAACCCATGCTTGTGGTAAACCAAACACCGGCATAGCCCGATCGACAATTCCAAAAATCTCACAACCATGAAAGATAGAGAAGACCATCACTGCAGGGTAAAAATGTGTGCAAGTTAGGATTGTTCTGAAATGTTTTAAGAAACATTTATCGCCATTTTATCGTCAATTAAAACCATAGTCTGACATAAAACTAAATGGAAGAAGATAATAAAATAAAAATATTAAATCGGAAACTTTATAAACTGGAGTTAAATTCATTTAGATTTTATACACAAAAATAACAGAAGAATTTATGAACTTTTAGAACATAAAAATATAAAATTCCAGAGCTGTTCCCCTTATAATATGAATGTACGAATATTTCCAAATGAATGCATATGACTTAACAAATAATATTTTAGACCCTGTGACGGTTTAAAGTTATCTTAAGTTTAAAATGGAGAATATTTTTTATTTAGAGACGGAAGTTTATGTATTCTATGAAATTTTCATTTTAAAATTAATTTCACGAAAAAGGAGTGCAGAAACACATTTTTCTTTAAAACAGTGTAAAACACGGAAAACTATTAAATTTTCAATCGAGGCTTTCCTCAGTAATTCGAGTTATGCGTGTGTATTAAGAATTTTTTCGGTGCGTTTTTGTTTAAAATAGAGATTGGTGTTTATTTCAGAAGAAAACAAAATCTATTTTCTGGCTCAAGAATTTAATTATTTCAAAAAAGGAATTCGATAATCGATTTTTCTAACATTTGTTTTGCGGAGGACCGTTCACGGATCACGTAAAAGAATTTCCGAACGTTACGCTGAGCAGTAACAGAGGCATTTTTAAAACAAAAATAAATAAATAAAAAATATTCGCTGAAACATCGTTCTAAAAAGTGTTCGCTATCATAATAATTTGGAAAATATGAGAAATATACTTGTTTTAAAACAGATCTATTTAATTAATTGAAAATTTTAAATATAAATTCGTGTGATAGCTAAGTAGTTATTTTCTTATGTTAAAGTTAGGGTCATTAAATTGAACTGCTCAGAATCACCTGTAGCTAGATTTAACAAATGAAAAGTTACTGAATTTGGTATGGAGACCATTAGTTGTTTACTGTTGTTGGTTGTTAAAAAAAGCTTTAAAAAATCGTCAATAGAAAACGCTGTTGTAACTTGTTAAATCGAATACAATATCGAATGTTAAATTTGAATACAATAAGGATGTCAGAGAAAAGTGCAAATTTATAACTGCGCATCACTTTAACAGCTCAGGCAATAAAAATTAACAACCCTACAAGTTTAATAGATTAGCAAATTGGCTATATAACATGAAAAGTATTTTCTGTTGAAATGAGCCAGCTTCCTCACAATGAGCCAGATTCCTCACAATACCAGAATGTGCATTGCTTACAAAGCTGCATTACTTTAATCAGTTCAATGCATCCGTGGTACTTCGTAAGTTTAGAGCTCGACAGAAACTACTCGGAGAATTTCTGATAAAACTCGGTTTCTGATTTTTAAAATCACAGTTCTAATGATCGCACATTTAATAAAAAATAAGAAACTGAAAAGTAAATTTTGCCTAATAAACGGTTTTTATGCCATCTTCAAGGGTATCATGATAAAATTATCAAATTTTACAGCATTTACCAAATTTTAACCTATATTATAAATCGATATTTTAGTTAATTTCACAAAAATTATGAACAAAGCGATTCGGTAAAAAATACTGTACTCTTTTGATATTCCTTCTATGGGTATATGGCTTCTTATGTCTTATCTACTAGGCCAAAAATACGGTAAATTTTACCACATTCTAGCAGTTTTGACCATTTGATTTTTCTAGGTGTACGTAAGGCCTTTATTGCTTTATATTTTGCGGAGAAATAATGTTTTTTTTTTTTTTTAAAAAANAAAAAAAAAAAAAAAAAAAAAAAAAAAAAAAAAAAAAAAAAAAAAAAAAAAACGCTTTCAGCATTGTGCAGTGTTATAAACAAATTTTTGAATCTAATTTACTTCGCAGAATCCTACTTCCTATGTCATATTTACATTCCACACCAAGTTTGGAACCAATTGTGTTTGATACAAAGTTTAAAACCATTTAGGTTATTAGATCGATCTACAAATGTCTCTGAAGGTGTCAAGTTAAGGAAATTACTCTGTATATGAAAATTTGCATTCATATATGATTTTCCAAAATGAAAAATACACAAATACGCTAGTCTTAGAAATATTATAAGTAACGATAATTTATATTTTTAAAGAAACTATTTATAAAGGAAAAAAACACAATAACGTTTAATTTATTTACCAGTTTAAAATTATTTTTTATTTTTTAAAAAGAAATTTGTTTTTCGGATAAATGTTTTGATATGTTTGAACAAATAAACGATTTTAAGCATTTTCCAAATTTCATTTATATTTCAAGATACTTTTTCGAAAATAAATCATTCTACAGTTTTCGCATGTATTCATTCCTACTTTCTACTTTTTTTTAAAAAACAAATCGTTCAGGAGTGCAAAATATGAAATCGTATTTCCTCGTGCGAAACTTGAAAGCACGTTTCACACTTTTAAAAACTTACAAGTGAACAGTCTAAAATAGTTTTTTCTTCTTGTTTCTGACTTAACGATCGTTAGAAATCGCAAAACATTTTAAAACGGTTTCATATTTTAAGCCCCAATACGATTATCTCTAATTTGTACTTCATTGCGTTTTAATTGTATTATTTTCAATATGTACCTGCAATTTCTTAAAAGTTATTCTAAGATTTTTCCATGTGAAGAAAAAGTATGAGTTTGACAATTTCATGTTAATGTTTTTCATTTTTTTCCATGACCATGATTCATTTTTTTCAGTATACATTTACGGTATGTTATTTGATTTGAGCGCCACTTTTATGATAAAATTAGATTTTATTTGTGCATCTTGTTTTATACAGATTTGATCTTAATGACTCCCTTCGATTACAGGTGTTCCATATCCATGTTATCTTCCAGAATTTGAAGTTGTTTGGCGAAGAATAACAGTGAGAGTGATCGCCATTGAATGGATGCCATCGCCACGCTTGGCTTCACTACTCTACAATTGGCTCTTGTTGTCGCTGGCGGCCTTCATGATGCTATCTGCGGGGGCGACCGGTGGCGAGTCAAGGTGGAATGGTGGACATGGCTGTGGTGGCGGAGAGTGGAAGTGTGGGGGAGATGATTCTATTGGTGGAGGAAATGGGAAATGCATCAGCCTCAACAAGTTTTGTGATGGTGTTGAGAATTGCGAGGATGGATCGGACGAGCCTTTAGGATGTACAAGTAAGATAGCTATCTATTAATAGAGAATTACATGGTCAAAAAGGGCCTAACTTGTATTGGTAAAGCAGTCATTAACCGAAATTGGATGAAATTAAAATGACATGAGGTTCAAAGAGGTTTAAATTCAAGTTTTCAGAAATTTTAATGCTTTTATTGCAAAACCATTGCTACATTTATTAAAAAAAAGTAGAACTTGATTTCANGGTGAGAATTTTAATTTGTGACTACCGGCCCAATTTACCATATTTTGAATAATTTCGGTCCCCAGCTTATCGAGACGATAAAGAATGGTGTGCTTCATTAAAAGGAAGATTGTCGAATTGTTATAGCAATATAAACGCATCGATTCTCAAAATAGAGTACAAATTTGAATCATGTTTAAAATATTAAGGTAAATTTAAATAATTATTGTGTATTTAAAAATAAATAAAAAAAGTTTCAAATTATTTTAAGTTAAAAATATTATTTGTAAGAATGTACCGCAGTTTGTACTGGTTGGTAAAAAAGTTAAACTGTAATTGATTCAAGCTGGAGGAACGAGATTGGCGTGTGAAATTTTAAGACATCGGATGCTGAGAATTAAAAAAAGAAGGAGTCTGGGAGTGACTGCACTGCACAGAATGGGATTACTCAATGAAATTCTATCATTTTTATTACAAAATACTTCATTACAACAAGTACTATAGAGTAATAATTAACAATTACTGTCTGAGATTGCACTGCACAGAATGGGATCACTCAATGAATTTTATTACAATAGTAATATAAGTATTATAGAGTAATAATTAACAATTTTTGTTGTTGCAAGAAGTATATTATTTCTTTGCGTAATTATTGTCTCCCGGAAAAATATATATAAAGATTGCTATACACATCATTCATGCTTGCCTTAAAACAAAAATATAGAGTAAACTGTAATCACTTATATAGTAATTTTCAGAGAAGTAAATATTATCAAATTTATTAAACTTCATCGCAAAAAGAATGCTAAGAAACTTCAAAAAGTCAAGCAATGGAAAGTGAATGTCTAAGACTCGAAAGTGTTTTATTTCCGATAAAAACTATAACGTTTTTTTAGCAGCGTATAATATGAATAAGTCATTCTATACCCCCCCCCAACTTAATGTTCATACAAGAGGTGTTAGACCTACCAGGTTAAAAAAATGAAATATTTTAGTTAAAACATGACGCAAACATTCCGATTAAAGCAATCAATTGAATCAAGCAAACTAAGCAATCGAAACTGATCCGAAGCAATTAACCACTCGAGTTGAAAAATGTCAATACGATGAGCAGTCTGATATTACAACTTTACCCGTTGGAGTCAAGTTAGGGCTACACAAATGATCCATATTATTACAATACAATAATTAAAGGAAGTGGAGAAATAAACTGATATTATTATATTGTACTTTGATCAAAAATTTGTTGAAATAATTTCGAACTAAATATTCAAAGTCAGTACGTTTTCTACATTGGTTGTTAAAAAGTTGCGTTTGCTGGTTTTAGTAAAAATAATAAGCATGCGTTAAATAAAACTTGCTTCGATTTGCTGTTATTTATTCTATATTTTCATAAATGTAATTATATAAATCACTTGAGTATCAAATCGCGGCAAAGATAGAGTGGAAAAACAAAGTCTAATTCAGTAATCTCTAATAACATCAAGCAAATTCTAGTTCATAGTTTCTTAGCTTAAAATGGTATATTGCTAACAATAGTTAGTTAATATTTACCAAATAAACTTCTAATGGCACATGAACTTGCATTTTGTTTCAACATATATTAAATGTTTTTAAAAATTTAAGGAATTTTACATGCTAAAAAGTTTTGAATTTCTGTTAAAAACGAATTTAACAAAAAAGAAGATTTCATAATAATATTAACTAATTGTCCATAGTAAATAATGTGGGACACGTGCCTAGTTAGTATTTTTCTAAAAGGGGTGTTTTTCCCAGTCTTCGTTTACTGAAAAACAATATAACTTCATTTCAATAGCTAAAGTAATTTCGCAATTTTGTCAGTTGCTTGCGTTATAAGGAACAGGGATTGAAATAGGATTACGTAATAAAAAAAAATGTAATAAACCCTTTTATTTAATTATCAAAAACAAAGTGTTTCATTGCATATCGTTTCGTAGGAGAAAAGTTAACAAGATTCTAGTAAATTTTCGAACATCTTGATTTTTAAAGCATCTTTTGCCTCGAGATGTAACCTGGTCGATAAAGACGGTAGATAAGCCTTTTGTTGCTTAAAGTACCACAATGCTTGGGTTTGTCTAGGTCCTACTCTTAATAAAAGGGAATTTCCTTAGCTTGTATTTTTAGTATTGTTTGCTGTTAAAATAATTAAAGTTACCAAGTTAAAATATGGATTTTTGAAAAAAATTGTACATGGTAAAAATAAAATAATTACAGATTCGTTATTTTCAGCAAAAAATATATAGTAAACACATATTTAATCGAAAAGCCCTTTTTCATGCTTGTACAATGTAGTTTCAAATTTAATCTGTAATATGTCTTACTATTTACGAGATAAATAAGTCTAAATAAACTAGTGGCAAAATTATAAGATAAAAGAAGAGAGATGAAAATGTTTTTATTTCATACTTCTGCAATGAAAAATGATCTGAATTGTCTCAATGAAGAAACCTGGAAGAAAAGAGCTTAACAATGTTTGCGAATAAAAACACTGGCAACCTTTTATTTACCCTTACATTCTTGTTCTGTTTTTCCTTCAAGCTAACTATAATCGATTTTATGTTTTTCTATTACTTTTTTATTTCATTTTTTGGAGAAGATTCCTTCAGTTTTTTTTTTCTTTCCCGTTTTTTATTTAAGGAAAAAGAGGTGGAAAAAGGAATGGGAGCTATTTATTCAGCTAAAGAAAACAAAATGAGGAAACTTTTATGCGAAGCTCATTGATTATTTTTTTCTTCTTCTTTCCATAACCATAACGGAAAAGAAGCATCTGGCTATCAATATTTTAATATTTATTTTATTTATTTGCATTTGCATTAAGCTTTGAAATTTCTTTCCTCTCTCTCCAGATCTGATTGATGGTCATTTCAATATAAATTCGAGATGCTTACTGAAATCTTGTTTTTAAAGGTACAATACAGCAATACATCATTTCCCCCTCCCGAAAAATCTAATTTTTACTTCGGAGAAAAATTCTTATTTTGAATGAAAATAAACCAGTGTGAATGGGACAACATCATTATTTTTCAAAAAATAGTTCCATAAATGTTTTTAAATTTGTTTTACATATATACCTTTGAAGGAGAATGTGGACAAGGAAGACGGAGTAAGCTTCAAAAGTTTTTTTTGTAGTCAAACCTTAGAACCTGAAACATACAAAAAGCCTTCGGTTTTTCTCCTTGAACAATGTTCTTCTCCTTCGATCTGATTGATGGTCAATTTAATAAACTTCGAAATGCTTACTGACATTCTGATTTTGAAGACACATTACAGCATTGCATCATTTCCCTCTTGACAATCTAACTTAAAAGTTTGACGAATTTTTTTTTCAAAAAAAAAATTATAATAATAATAATTTGAATGAAAAAAAAATAACAACACAAAAGTTTTTAAATTTGTTTTACAAATAAACTTTTGTAGGGTAAGATAGGGTGAAATGACGAACTTAAGTTTAAAATATTTTTACTTAGAATCGATGAGTAGTTTGAAAGCGTGAATTGTACAAAAAGTCTTTAATTAATCTTCTCTTGGAAGACGGCAAAATTCTCGCCAATAAAAAAATTTTCGCCATTTTACATTTTAGAAAGTCCAAGAATATGAAAATATTATAAGACAAAAAAATTTTTAGGAACCAAGTTTATTTAGGGTCAAGTTTATCGCAGGTAAACTGTAGCACATATGATTTTTTTTGCGTCACTATGACTTGCATTTTGAAAGTATTTCATGGAAGAAAAAGAAAAAAATGACAACCTACCGTAAACGGATAATACGCAAACGGATGCAAACACAGATTAAAGCAAGATATTTGATTTTCTAGTACACTCAAAACAATCTCAACTTATTTTACTTGAAGTGGACTTTATAACTTAATACTAACATTTTAAAAAATTGGCTGGACTAATAGATTTGGTTTGCTTAGTTTCATTGGAGAATTCTAACTGCTAACTTAGGAGAGTTTTAAACATTCTCCCAAGTTATTTTAAAAATAATTAAAAAAATAAGTTTCACAGTTTAATCCTATCATATCTAGGGACACTATTAGAAATTATGGAAATATTCAGAGTTTAGTTTCGCCAGCCGCTTTTTTGCGCAATATTCTTCTATTGCAAAAGTTTTTCTTGCAAGAAATATTTTTCACAAAATCTCATTCACATTCCTATGCAATTTTGTTGCGTAAAAATATTTTTCTATCCACACAATGTTATGTTTACCAGAAACTTCTTTCTGGATTGTCATCGAAACTTGGAGCTCGCCTGGAGTTATGATTGCCAACACATGGGACTTGAAATTTTGTGACTAAATTAACTCTTTGTTTCTAGTGATTTATGACACTATGAACTATCCTGTGTGTGTATTATCTCTTGCCTTTAGGCTTCTGGTCTTTTATTGGCATTTTGCCACTTTACATACTTTTACTTTTCAACTTTTTAAACTTTGAATTTGCCTTTTTATGAGGGTATTTTGTCCTGGGCTGGCACCCCTTGAAAATTTTCAAACCTCCACTGTTGTAAAATTTAATGGAATTTGTATTGAATATAAGGGTCTTTTGGCCTAGAACCATATTGGCCTGCGCGCCAGTTTTCAGATTTTAACCTTTTTTTCACGCACCTTTTAAAAATTTAAAATTTTTACATGGCCTGCATGCCATTTTCTAACTTTTCAATTTTGTACATGTATTGAATTATGCTGAAGCTGTTAACTAGCTCTATTGCCATTCTATGTAATTTTAATGTTTTGGTTTCAATACTGTCACGGGGGGCTTCGCCGGGTCGCCCGGCCGGGTCCATGCGCCGGTGTGCTTGCTTGAGTTTCCCTCGCTGGGGGGAAATCCGTCGCGGCGACGAGCTCTCGATTTCCCCATATACCCGATTATGGGGGGGGGGGCGTTGTATAAATAAATAAATAAATTACCAGAAACTTCCCAAACAAAGTTTTACCGATCAATGGTTTTACATTTAAGATCCTGTCCATGCAATATTTTGTTGCGTGAAAACATTCAAAGTTTGTTTTAAAAGATGCTTTTCTTACGAGATTATGCCAATTTTCTTTGACAGAGATATTTACCACAGCATCAGAAATTCTTTTAAAAGCTTTTTGTTGCGAAAGAATATTATTTTATTTACCGAAAATTATACTTCACCAAAGTTTTGATGCGTAAGGTTTCTACATTCGAGACTCTGGCCACTTGAAGATTTTTGTGCGAAAAATTTACCACGTGAGATTCTATCCATGCAATGTCCCGTTGAGTGAAAATATTCAGAATTTGTTTTACCATATGCTTTTCTGAAGAGATTCTTCCAACGCAATTTTTCTTTTTTGCTAGAGATATTTATCATAGGATGAGAAACCCTTTAGCACAAGAATATTTTTCTATCCCCGCAAAGTTAAGTTTTATCAGATGCTCCCCACGTAAAGATTTGTTGTGCAAAAATTTTACATTCGAGGTTCTGTCGTCTCGAAGTTTTGTTATGTGAGATATTTACCATGGGATACTTTATCCATGCGAAGTTTTGTTCCCCGAAAATATTCTTTTATTGGTTGGTTTTGTTTATCATATTTTTTCCACTTGATATCCTGTCTACAGAAAAGTTTGCAGATGTATTTACGACACGTTATGGCATCCTTACAATTTTTTTTTTGTACAAGAACATCTTCTTTCCAACAAAGTTATATTTTATGTGATGCATCACGAAGTTTTGTTTTATGTTATTTCAAATCATTTTATGAATTTCGAACGACAACGATACTGAAAAACTAAATTTTATTAAAATAAATAAGAGAGTAGTTTTTAAAAAAACATATTCAATTTAAGTTAAGTTTAAAATTTACTTTATGTGAAATATAAGGAATAAATAATTACAAAGAAGATAAAACATTTCAAGATATTTTTCGAAGAAATTAATTTAAAAGAAAATGTATATTTTTTTATATTTCGTACATAATTTAATATTTGAGGATATTTAATAATCAATCTATTGTAACAAGCAGCCATAAACCTGTTTCACTACAAATGTTCCAATTTTCTAGAAGCATAAAAAAAAATGGCTTACCATTTATTTTGATTTCTTCAATACGGCGATAGAACAAAAATATGCCTCCATTATCGAAAGAAAATTCCCGCAATTTACAGAATAGGGAGGATGTTGTGGATGTGGGGAGGGGAGGGATGCGAAGAATAGAATTGGATGGGTGGTTTGTATTCGACAAATATGCTGCATTTTACTGAACAAAATACTGAATAGTATTGGTTTTAGAGAAAAATATTCTTATCTACCCTATAATAATCGTAAGTCTTTGAGCAGGAGCAGCTCTGAGAAACAGAGTTTTGTTTCGTCTTGAGTTGTAGTTGGAAGTTTAAATTGTTACGTTTTTACCTTAAGTATTGTTGTATACTTCCTTTTGTAAAGAAAAAAATATCAACTTTAACGACTATGTTTTGTTATGTTTGCTATATCCTATACGGAAACAGTACATGAGTTAAATTGCGAGTAAAATACATACCGCAGTATCAGTTTGAAATATGTTTTAAAATGAAAATTAATGGCAAATATAGAGCAAGTATTTATGACCTATAAATTACCTGCAGTTTGAAGAAAATTATGGAATTAAAGTGACTACAGTTACACGCTTTTTTTGTTATTTGTTTTTGAATTTCATTTACATAAATTGTTATTTTAAATTATTTTTTTTGACGAAAAGTATTTTTTTAAAAATATATATTTTTAATTGTGTTTGATAAATGACATTTTTAAGAAATTTATTACACATATATTAAGCCTTGATAATTTTTATGCAGTTTGCTGATAAGTTAAACTGTTAAAATTGTACACAAGCGGTAGTTCAAATATTACTACACACCTTTTCTAATGAATGTAAGGAATGCCGATAATTGTCTTTTGCTTTAAATTTGACAGTTATTGAAGTAATTCAAATTTCAGCATAAAATGAAGTGAAAGATAAAACTTTTTTTAATATTTCGTTCATAAAATTTTGAAAGTTCCTGAAAGTTCCTTTCTAAAACTTTTTCATTAACCAGTTTTAACTCTTATTTAAAAATTAAAATTTTTCTAATTGTGATTTTTTTTCACTTTTTTTGTTGTGTTGCTTTACTTTTACTTAGTGCTTAATGTAAGAATTGTACATGCCTCTTTTTCCCCTTTTAAGTGATTATTTAATATTCGACTGCCCCTAATTTAAAATAAAAAAATATTCCCTAAAACTTTAGTAAATTTCTATGCTTTTTTTTTGTAGTATAAAAATAGAGCTTAGCTCCTGTAGTAGTAACAAAACCGAAAAAAAGAAAAAGAAGGAAATTCTAGCTAGGGACAAATTTTGAATTAACCCAGTTAGAAAAAATGATGAAATAAATTGTTAAAACTAAAATTTGTGGACCAGGTTTTGGTCTGGTCTGGTTGGTGTAACTACGCATTTGAGGCCAAAATTGGCCACTTCCCATTCATCTTGTAGTGGTGATCATTTGTAAAAAAGATCCGGATTTTGATCTAAAGAAGAAAAAATAAACAATGTTTTTTTAAAAATAAAAACGTGGTATTATTTAGTATGTAGTACTTTTTACCATAAATAGAACGACAACAAATTGCAGGTAAAATGACTAAAATTTCGAAAAACATTGCTGTTTCATGCATAGAAAGTATAATTTTTACTCATATCTACTTACGTATCTGTAAATGCTACCTACACAAGTGCAGTATGGTTTCCTGTGCAAATAAACCCAAATTGATAGTTGGTTATTTTACTTTTGAGTTGAACTTGAAATTTATAGGTTGCATGTGCGAAAAATAAAATGCCGCAAATACGAAGCCTCCATGACAGGTGAAATATATGCGATGTCTTTAGCTTAACATACCATCAAATGTCCTGAGGTTATGACGTTTTCAGTATGAATGTGGTGATGTTAATTATCACGACTGTTGTAATTAGTATCATGTTCGCCACTGTTTCAAAGGGTTAATTATAGTTATGAGGGGTAATTTGAAGGTATCTGGATAAATCATTCTCAGCATCATTTTGTCTCGAACCTTTAGCTGCTTCATGGTAATAATTTTGAATGAGTACTAATTATTAGCTAGATTCCTAATCAGTATAATAAGCATGAATTAGCAAACCATTTTGGAATTAATAACTACAAATCAAGAGAATTAGCTTATATTAAGCATTATTATATTTTTTATCTACATTTTTGGAAAGTTAATAACTTGTTGGACTGTAATCTGACTCAAAAATTTGCTTCAAAGCTAAACCGAAACAAATAAAATCATATTATCGTTCAAATATACTTTTTTTAAATTTGATTACACGATAATATGAAAGTGGTAACATGGCTCAAGTCAGCATCTTATTACTCTCTCTAAATTAACTTGTATGGATTAGTGATTAATTTTTAATGTCTTCTCAAATAAAGATGTAAATTTTTAGATGTCTTCAAAATATTTAAGATTTTTTGAAATATTACCAGTAAGACACATTCAGTGCAAAATACTTATTAACTTGTGATTGATTCAAATGAAATAATTGTAGTTAATAGAAATATTGTAGTAATAGAGTATCTCTGTATAATTATGTTAACGGTACTTCAATTTCTTATCATCCTCATCTTCAACTAGCGAGAAGCAGACGCAAACATGTATTATTTTGTTAAAAGGTCTCGCCCGGAACTGCTTTTTCAGTTACTTTCGAATCACATCGCTATCTGAATTGAATTTCTTCACTCATTGAATAGCAATATATTTTATTTCATCGCTGCTAAAACGCAATTTAAAATGAAGTTCCAAAAAAGTGCAATATATTTTGCGAAACCTTTGGTTTATAGAGATTTTATTCCTCAATTGTAAACATCTATTGAATTTGCATGTATTTCATCATTACTTGAAGATTGCAATTGAAAGAAATAATTCATAGAATTTATCTCTCTATGCATAATTTTCAATGCGTTGAGACTCATCACTTTTTGAACAAAATCTTAAATTATTTAAAAACCAAAGAAAAAGAGCATTACCAATGTAGGTATGTAGGTAAAAAGCAGGATAGTATCCCAGGGCTAAAATAAAAATTCATTTGATCAGCAATGCCATTCCACAGAAGTAGTCTGCCAATTTTTGTTGTCTATGTTTTGCTTTTTCATAAGAATGCTTTCTTCTCTTACATTAAATAATTAAGCATCATTAAAAATAAATATAGATGCAAACTATATATCCTACTTAAATTAATAAGCATAGTTAGAACTAAAAATATGCTTAATTTGTTAATTTACCTGTTTTGAACCCTTCATTTTTGCCCAGCCTATAGCTCAGCTTTTAACAGTTCTTCGCTGCCGACGTGGAAAAAGAAATATTATCGGCTTATGTATATTAGATTCGCCTTCAAACAAATTCTTTTTTAACTGAGAGTTTGAAACTTTACCTTCTTTATTCAAAAAATGCTTTTCAGATTGCAATCATACTTTCTATGGAGATGCAAATGTGAAGTATCCATTGCGAGTGACCGGACCATTTCAGAGGTATCTACCGTTTGTGTGCAAAATTACATTTGTTGCTGCTGGAAAAGGATACGGTGATTTCGTTGAATTAACGTTTTTATCTTTTCAAATTGGCATACTAGATATGACAAGGTAGGTACTTTAAAAAAAAAAATTAAAATCATGTATTTATTTATTTATTTTTATATAAAAATTAAATTGATTGATTTTCATGATAATGATGTCTTAATCAGAATCATCATTAATGTTCTTGAAAAACGTTATTTTGTATTATGCAACAAAAATAAATTTTGACGTGAACTTTGTTTTTTAAGTATGACTTCTTATCTTAATAGGAGCAGGGGTAATGATTATACTTTTCAACGGTCACTAATATGTGAGTTATATAAAAAAAATCTAAGTGTTTAATATTAAAAAATAGCGCTTGAATTGAATGTTGAGCATTTGAATATTACAGGATGTGTCGAATTGCGAATCGTTAAAATCCAAACGGTGTTAAAAACTAAGTATGATGCGAAAATAAAATATGAAATTTTAGCAAAGGTCGCTGGGGGGCCTTGAGTAGGTCAACTGTGAGTTTTAAAAGAAGATCTCTTACGTAAAATGACGTTTGAAGTAGCAATTTTTTATTTCAATTCAAATTAATTCTACAGTATGTTTTGTAATAAATATTAATAAAGCCATGATACATAAAACTAAGTTTAACAGTATTGTGATTAAACACAACTGGAATGGTAGCGGGTATTTTTTTATTCATCTCGTTTACCTTAAATAGGATTACACCCACGCGGTTCATATGTCATTTACTTATTTGTTTCTTATGCATTTCCTTCGACTAGATCTTAGCAAATCCGATTATAATGAAGTTTCAGAATTAAAATAGGTGGATATTTAAAAAGATTGCTCCTGACTACTTGCAAAATAGAAATAAATGATAGCTTTGCAAGTTTAGGCTTTGATCTCCTGGGCAAACAGTATTAACATTTCCCTGCTAAGCAGTGATTTCCATTTAAATATCATGAAGAAAAGTGATTTTTTTTCGATGCAGAAAACCTGAACTTAAAAGTTCGGAAAATAGCCGGACTGACTCTCAGAGAATTATATAAAATTAAAATAATGCTGTATTTTTTGTTAGTAAGTTAAATGTATATGACTCTATAGCGAACCATACTTGTTGTTTAAAAAAACATTAAATGCGAATTATGTATGAAACTTATTATTTCTTAACGTGCACTTATCTGTATATTTTGTAAATATATTTTATATAAGTTTTATACTATAACACGTCTTATTTTCGAATCAAATATGCGTCCTAAGGCAGTAATAAATAGTTTCAGAAACTTAGAAATCACTTTTTATTTTTAATTTTCAGTGTCACTATTAGTAAGTCCTGTTTTACATCATAACATTATTTTTGAGGGAATTTTTTTTCCTTCTGTGAAAGCTCGATAATGATTTTCATCACTGATTAAACCTGACTATCATCATAACACAGTTTCCTTTCAAAAACAATAATTATTTCTCCTTTAAATGCTCGATGACGATTTTTATCACTGATTCACTATAGCTATCATTATAACATTGTGTTCGAAAAAAAATGTATTTCCTCTATAAAAGCTCAATAATGATATTTATCACTGATTAGTGTTTTAAAAATTATTTCAGGTTATAAATAAAAAGCGTTTTGGTATACCATCGATCCTGGTTGTTTTTCCATAAATCCTCAAATATATTTTTAACGAAAATATACCAACGTATTCATTTATCATAAATATTATTGTTATTGAAAGAAAAGTAAGCTTTAACTATTATAAACTTTTTAGCATAATTTTCATAAAAGCCATTCATTTCATTATTTTTCCTACTGTGAAACAAGTTTAAATGAGAATTAGGCTAATGGGATTGGGGACATCAATGCTCAGCGTAATCGAAAGTATGAGAAAAAAAAAGAAGAAAAGATTAATGCCATGCCTAAATTTTTTTTCAGAAACCAGACAGCCATTTGTCAAAAAGGACATTTGAAAATCTCTGAATGGTCTGATAACCCAAGAGAATGGGATGAGGAAGAATCATTTCCTGCTTATTCACCCATTCGCTATTCATCGGCTGCATTCTCCAGGGCACAGGAGGAGACATCTTCGAACAGCAGGCCAATGTTCGGAGAATTTTGTGGCTCTATGATTGAGAGGAGTGTCACATTCTTCTCTCAAGGTAGCAACGTGAGTGTCACTGCAGTAGTTCCAAGCCGGGCTTCCATTCCTTCAACATCGTTTGGGCTCTACTTGACTTATAGGTCTGATATCCAATCTTTTCTGTTCTTTTTTTTAATGTTACCTTTCATCGAAAATTGGGAATGGAATGTATAGGCTTAATATAAGTGCAGAATTGCTAGTTTAGATAAAATATTTACATATCATTAATTTTTATTTTGTAACCGGAGTTGAACAGCCTGTCGAATTTTGAGTTTACGACTATTAATATTCAACTACGTAGCTTTGAAGTGTTGAACCCAACACACAGGAGTAGGCAATTCATGGTTCAAGCATTTGGACAAACTAGCCTTCTTGGAAGCCTTTTTGATGGAACTGACCTACATTTGTGTTACTTGGGGGAAACCACGAAAACCTCGCACGGTTTGCCTAACGCCAAGTAGATTATAATCCATGATCCGTCCTCCAATGAGGATATTTTACGTCAGCACTGTGCGTTGTCAGCACTGTGTCAGTGTGTCCCGGGAATAGAATTCGTATCAATCAGACATCGCTGGGATTCAAATCTGGCTCAACTCATTTTGAGGCGAGCGCTCTATCTCCTGAGTACTCCTTCGCAATTATCATTCATTAATTATGTTAAATCTATCACTGCGCTGCCGTTTCTCTCATTTTGAGCAACAGTGTTTTATGTAGGATGCTTAAGGATATCAAGTAAATATGATCATATGCAATTGAACAAGATATGAAGCGATATTAACTTTTACGATTTCCAGGGTTGAACTGGAAACCTGGTTGTGAAAATAACACTGAAAGCACTACGTTAGTTTTTCAACGAGTAACACATGAATTGTATTTAGATGTAGTGTTTTAAAAACTAATGGTTAAAACATTTAAAAAATCAACTTTATGGTCTGACCACAACAATTATACACGGTCCGATACTTAGTCATTAAGTCTTTTGAGTCATTTCAAAATGGTCATGGTAGTTACGATACATATTTGACCATTACCACGTGATGGGGATAGAACCTTAGCTGATCACTCTCTCCTAAATGCAAATCTGTAATAATGGTTGTTGTTGTAGTTAATTTACGTCGCACTAGAGCTGGGCGCACAATGGGCTATTGGCGACGGTCTTTGAAACATCCCTGAGGAAGATCCGAAGACATGCCATCACAATTTTGATCCTCTGCAGAGGGGATGGCACCCCCACTTCGGTAGCCCGACGACCTGCACGCGAAGTCGAACACTTTACGGTAGAACAGTTTAACGAGGACCAATACCGCACACCCTCGGTTCCTGCGCAGACTAATCCAAGTGGTCACCCACCCGCACACTGACCGCAGCCAGTGGTGCTTGACTTCGGTGATCTGCTGGGAACCGTGTCTTAACGATCAGTCCACTGCGGGACCTGTAATAATGGAATGACCGTCATTTTTGACGAGAACTTTACTGATATAAAGCATAGTCGCGAACCCATAGGGCCGTTTACAATCAAAAAATATTTGAAATTATTGATCTTTTTTTAAAAAGAAAGACGAGAATAAATAAACTAAAAAGAGAAAAATTACATTGCAGGTATGTAGTCTTTCTTGACAATATGAAAAATCAAATCCTTCGAAATTTATATTGAAAATTTAAGGAAATAAATTTTATGATCATTAAGAAATTATCGAACCTCAAAACTAGAGATGTGATTCAATAACTTAAGTTATATTCTTAAATTTGTAATGAAAATGTAGATCAAAAGAGTTTATTTTTCTTCCAAATTTCATGTTTTCACTCTGAAATTTGCATAAACCTTCTATATTTAAAGTAACATTTAATATCAATAAATTTCTTTTATAAATTAAGATAGTAACATCCAATTTCTTCTGATTAGTAGTCCTGATTGTATTTTAAAATTATAAGCTATTGAAAAAAACCTTAGGTTATAATATAGTTTGTAGTTCTATTTGAATTCTTATCACTGAAATTAATTTTGTCTCTTAGATTAATTTTTACATTCTAAACAGTTCTTACACTGATTCATTTTCATAACCAGATTTCTGAAACGAAGGCCGTCAGACGAAGACAGACAATCAGTATTTTTGGGTCATCAAATGCCCGGAACATACTGTGATCGGGAATTTTTCGATTGCCATTACAGTCGAAGATGTAGAATACGGACACCAAATTTTCCAGGATTTTATCCAAGAAACATTTCATGCAACTACTATATACGTCACTTAAAAACACCAGAGGTATGTATCTTTATTGTTTAGTAGATACTTGGTTAGGTTAATTTAATGTAATTTTACTAAATAAAGTTGTTAAATTAATTTATTATTAATTCAATAGTAATTAATATAGTTACATCATTAAAGTTATCAGAAACAGTTTTCACAAGAGTTACATTTGAATGTTTGAATGGATAGTTTATTGGGAACAGTTTTTAATGCATACTTTGTTTTTGTTTTTTTATTCAATGTAAAAACTACTACATGTTTCATACAGACGTATGAAGTCACATGGACATGTAACACTTAAGATGAATAAACACTTTTTAATATGTGACTGTTAGAGATGATCAAGGAATTTAGGAGTTAATAATATGAAACTTCTTAGAAGGTGTCAAAACTAATTATATATTACAGTCCCAAGAAAAAAAAGCAGTATCTCTAGATTTTGACAATTTCTTTTTTCTCTCATTTATATTGTATTTCAATGACTGATTACTTCACAAAACTATAGAAAGCTGCATATGCTCAATTATTGGTCTAGTAGACCAGTTATTTCCAACCCATGGTCATCGTCCTCTGAGTAAGCAGTGCAGTAATAGGCAGTGAATATTGGTCGAGAGTCTGAGCTAAGTTTAATCTTTGGGCAGAATGCTAGTTTATCGGGATATATTCGTCATGCATTCATAAAAGGTGACCATTTGTCGATATTTTTTACTTGCATGCCTGGTAGTTACTAGATTTCAAAGTTCTTTTTTTAAAACTACGACTTAAGTTAGGAACTGCTGTGTTAGACTATAAATAAATTACTTCTACTATAAATGAGACTCAATCTATTATCGGGTGTTCGCTGGTTAATTTTTCGTAAGTAGAACATTCTACAGTGTTATGGGAACGAACATATTTCGTTAGACTGCAATATTGATAAGGTAATTTCTTATAATGATCTGGTAAATAATGATAAAAAAACCTCGTTAAAATACATATATAAATCTTCCTTTTCAGGGATATTCAGCAAAAATTGTGATCTCTCAAGTAAACGATTACAAGATATCTGTTCCCACTGGAAGAGCAACCTCTACTACAAGCACGAGCTTCTTGCTGTCGACAGACTGTATTTCAGGGGATTCTGTTCGAATTTATGACGGATATTCCGTAAGATCTCCTCAACTACTGGAGTTCTGTGGTTCCGGAGCTTTGCCAGAGATAGTTTCCAGTGGAAATGAAATGCTTGTACAGATAAAAAGTGCTCCATACCAATATTTAAGTAATTCTCGAGTGGAGATTGAGGTCTCAGTCAGGTATGAAATGCTTCACGCGCAGAGCTTAGAAGAAGATGGACGTTGTTCATATACACTTGATGGCACAAAGAGAAGGTGGGGTGTTATTTACAGTCCCAAACATACAATGCCTCCAAATACGAACTGCACTTATCGCTTCATGGGGGCTTCTAAGCATGACAGAGTAAGCTTTATAGACATTATCTAACTTGAGTGAAATATTAAATACTTATTTTTTGGAATGTAATTATTTGTTAAATAGAAAATTTTAATTTATTAAGAAGTAGTTTTAACCAGCGAGTGACATTTTTGCGTCCTAAATGCACATGGGATCATAACTAAGGTTATAAAGGTAAGAAACGTGATAGCTTGATAAAAAAAATGAAGTTCTGTAAGTAGGGTAAACCAACCAGTGAAGGAACACTACCCAGTGAAGGAACATTTCATATATATTGATTAAAAATAAGAATTTGAAAGTTTTTCTTTTGATTGATTGGTAACAATAGCTTACTGCCAAACAATAGGAAGTCATCTAGCAATATTATGGATTACCTGGTCAAATAGATTTCTCTGAAAAAATTTTTGAATTTGTTATTATCTCTGCAACACCTTGTTTCGTTGAAAAAATTATAAGGTGAGTGTTTGTANGGTTTTCGAATGGGGGGGGGTGCGCTAAAAGGGTATTGTGCCCCGGGCGCGAGTTAAGCTCGCTACGCCACTGTTTCCAACTTATAGTTCAGTCTGTTTCAACTTTTCTTTAACCAAGCGAGAAAAGAATTTTTTTTTTTTTTAGAAATTTGCAAACATGCACGTTTGGGCTTTCATGCTTATGACAGTTCCTGCGCTTAATATTTCAATTATCCTTTTCCAACGCGAAAAAATGTTGACTTTTTTGTCGCTGTGTAACATTCGCAACATTCATTTATAGAGAGAGAGCACCATTGGACAAAACTGGACCTGCGACGAAAAAAATGAATAAATGAAGGTGTGATTATCTTAGTCTGCTCATAAACAGCAACAAAAACTTTTATTATTTCAAAGCAGAGGAATTCAATGCTAAAAGAATCTCATTGGGCTCGTTTCACAACAAACTATATGCAATTGATAATATTTTGTTTCAACATTTTCACTGATCACAACCATCAATAAGATTGTGACCCATGGCGGAATTAAAACGCACCTTGTTGGTGTACAAGCCGGATGTTTTGTCGATTGCCAGGATTTAATTCACAAAACCCAGCTCTCTATGAGTGGAGTGAGCAACGTATTTACCGACTGCACCATGAGATGGCCTCACGTCAAACTAACAGGCAAGTTTTTATGCGGTGTTATTAGCAGCATGCAGACAGTACGAGTTGCAGAGAAATAAAGTTTTTGAGACCAATGCGTTGTTTTTCCGTCGTAATCATTCCGTCGTAGCCGAAATCATTGTCATGTGTAGTAGCTCCTAACTACACAGAATAGCATGCATAGAAAGATGACCAAACATATAAGACCTTGTTGAAATAAGATCTGAAGGAGATAGAACTTGAGAGTTCTCTGTTATTTTTGCTTAAGAAATCAGGTAAGTAATTTTCAGCAAGTTCAATAATTAGTTCCAAAGTTTCTTAGCAAATAGTTTCTCAAATAGTAAAAAAACTTGAAACAATGTCTTGTAAATAAGTAGTATTTTCTGCAACAGAGGGACCCAGTTGAAGACAAATTTATATGCCTCTTGTGAATACATTTAAGTTGGAAGGGTCTGCCATGCTTCAAAAAATTTTGCTAGTTTCTAGCACACAACACAAGATGTGATACATTTTAATAAATATCTTTTGCAGCAATGCAACAAATTGTCGTATCTTTCTTTAATAGGTTTTTCATATTCTCAGACAGTTTTACATAACGTAATTGGCCGCCAAAGTTTTATTAGATACAATTCCCCTCCACCACACTTGCTCCACACTCGAAATAACCCTTTCATTCTAATAACCAACATTCGGGACTATGCTTGTTAAAATTACTCTTGAAGAAATTAATCCTTTATGAATAAAAAAAAAGTATCTTTTGTCCCTTTAAGACTACAGAACCATGAAGATTACTGTAAGAAGATCCATTGCCAACTTAAGATTAGTAAAAATGTAGTCCCCACTTTTACCTATACAAGCATGAAGAAGACAGTTCCATTGTCACCTTTAGACTAGTAAGAAGTGTAGCTTCGAATTTATCCACGCAAGAGTAAGAAAGAACTAGTGAATATCTGTTTTCACCTTAAGACAAATAAGGGTTACCATTACTTTCACCTATAAAAGCATGAAGAAGAATGAAAGATCCGATGTCACCTTAAGATTAGTAAGATGTGTCGCTTCTAGTTTCACCTTCACAATGGTAGGAAAAAACAAGAGAGGATCGGTTTTCTCCTTAAGACAAATAAGAATGGCCATTGCTTTCACCTAGGCAAGCGTGACCAAGAATCTACTTAATTTTAAAGCTTTTTCTTGAAGAAATAATTTTACATAGAAGTTCTCGTGAGGTAGTTGCCCATGTGTATTATATCGACTCTTTTATGTCTGCTGCGCGTTCTTGATAGGATTGAAACATAAGGGTAGAAGTCACAGTGAAATACGACAATGCTTTTAATTTCAATGTTGTTATTTTACACTGTACTATAAATTATTGTTTTCACAGTTAGTATTTACCTTTTGTTCAGTCTCTTTCTTTAGCATTATTTTCCTAATAGTGGCACATGTAATGTTGACGTATAAAATCTCTTTCAATTGATTCTATTACTTGCAAACAAATCACCTTTCTGATGTTTGTCGGATAAACTTCTGGCATAATTTTATGTTTTAGTAGCATTTCAATAAGAGTGTTTTAAAACCTCTTATCATTTGTTTTGGTTATCTTTGTTATTTACGTTTTGTGCATTTGCAACCATTTTTCGACCTCAAAGGCAATAACACAAGGTGTTACATGTCAATAACTTTTAACACTGACGGATGAATAAAAAACATTTTAAGTGCATTTATGTGTTTTTATCATGTCTATTTAATGCTACTTAGGTTATCTATCACTTTTGAATTTATAATATGTTATTGATAGATTGTGAAAACATTCAAACAGTTAGAAATAGCCTTATCTATCATTTTAATCTGCTTGATGGTGGATAGTAATCCTTTTATTCTTTTTACAAATGTTGGGGTATTATAGTTATAATTTTGATAATGTAATGAATGAGATCACTTAAGAATTCTTTATTTGCATGAATGGAGATTAACATGAGAACATAAAAACAAGAAAAGTGTAAGAAAATGTATTTTTAAAAACGTATTTAAGGTCAATATATCTCATTTTAAAAAATTGAATTCAGTATGGAATTATACGCCTCAAAATCTAAATTTTTAATTATTAATATCTATTTAGTTAGATGCAAAAATCTTTTAACTCATCTTTTTTATTAACTAGTAACTTATTTACTTATTAAAATATAATTCATAATGAAACAAATGTTTACCATCTCAAATTTGAATTCGAAGAAAATTCAAACGAAGGTATATTTATTTTGTCTCATTTGTACGATTTACGCTCAAATTATTCATGAACATATACCTAAAAATGTTTGCAATTTTGAACATGTAGCTTTAAAGTGAGAACAGTTAGTAGCATTTTATTTTCTCAAAAAATATTTACAATTTGTCATCTAATATTTTTCAATTTACATGCATTTAAAGATACATATTTTATCATTTTAGAAGTAAGGGCCATCAAGCATTTAACATTTATAAAATTGCCATGAAATTTTTTCTTATCTTTTGTAAATAAACTGAATCAAACAAAAAAATGTTCTATTTATAGATATGGATATATTTCGTATCATTCTTTGTGCTGGTAGAGAAAGGTCCGCCCGATGGGAGAAGCGAGAATTCTTGTTCCATTAGTAAATTAGAAATTTACGACCTTGAAGATCACAAAGGAAATGTCACTGGACCTTCTACGCATATGGCAGCAGCTCCCACCCACCAGTTTTGTGGTGAGATCGGCCCAAAATTGTGTGCTCATGCTGCTGATTACCCACCTCAATTTCTTCCTGCAAGACCTTGTGAGGTAATCTTATAGCATTAGGCTCTATTTTTTTGGGTTGAAAACATCTTATTTTATATCACTATTTTCTAATAGGGATTGATTCTATTTAATAATTCCGTTCATGAGTATATGAGAGTTGCTTATCATTGGTGTAATTACGATGAGAGTAATTCAAATTAGATGTATATAGTTTTAAAATGCATGCTTTCACACAAAAGGATCTAGAATGCACCCAAAAAATATGTATAATTAGCTAAACTAATTTACAGAAAATTATAAACAAAATTAATATGATATTTAATAAAAAAATAAAACTTTTCTTTATTGATTAATCAATTAAAGAGAAATCTATATCAAAACCTGTTACAAAATTTGGCGAGAACCAGAAATTTGCATGTAAATAACTTAAATCCAGTAAAGTAACATGGATCAAATTGGTGGTGAATTTAAATGAAATTTAATCCTTCTTTAATAAGAGAGCCTACGATAGGGATGGCGAACCAATGGCACGCGTGCCATTTATGGCAAGCGACAAAATATTTTGGGCACGCCACCGATCACAATTGTTATTGCACTATGAATTGTTATTACACAAATGTTATTACACTATGAACCATATGTAACAATTAAATTAAAATTCACAAAAACAAACAAAATAATAAGAAATTATTAATGAAAAATTTAACAATTAATGCTAAAAAAAACGATTAATAACCATAAAAAACAAGCTAACAATAAATAACTAGCAAAAAAATCAACAGTCTTGCTTAAACAAATATCTTACAACTTAATATTTGTCATTTAATGTGCAATAACAGAAGTCCCACTGATGTTACTTTAAGTTTAATTACGCGTATAACTGAGACATTGCAAAATGTATTTTCCTTCCTATGTACATTAAGAATTTTGAGTTGATAGTATTTAGTATTATTATTTTCCCAATAGTCATGAAGTCAAAATTATTTAACGGCACGTCCGTGATTTCATTAAACAAATTTTTTAGAAAAAATGGCACGTTGGTGTATAAAGGTTTGCCACCCCTGCTACGATATATGCGTTGTGGTGTTACAACCAACAGGAAATGTGATGTGAGTTCTAAAAACTAATATCAAAACTTAATACAGAAATACACAACTTCTCTTATAGGAAATAAGAAACGAACTATCACTTTAGAAACAAAAATCAGAAGAAAAAAACAACAACATAGACTGCGCTTAAATTGATCAAGATCTTGAACTTATAGCTCGAGACAATTTTTTAAAAAAAACCGGTCTGGTTTCTTGTTAAAATATGCTTAGTATGTTACAGCATATAAAGTGTATGTTCTTAACCCGTTAATGGCAATGTAGCCCTGACAGCTTCAGATAAGTTTTTATTTAAAGCATTTAAAATTACAGTAATTAAGATAAATTAATCACAAAAAATAAAGAAAAAAACATGTTTGTATACATAAGCATATTTTAATCTTATTAAATATTTATGAAATGTGTTTCCAATAACAGATATTAAATTAATATTAATAACTGAACTTTTGTCAAGAATGAAAAGAGAAAAAAAGTTTACTTTCTGGGGGTCGCAAAACAATGTTTAAGCGAGAAGAAAATAAAAACGTAATCGATTTCTGACAAATCACTACTAAAGTAAGCGGATTTATTTGTGTACCAAACAAAAGTGAGCTTTCGATTTTATTATCGGATCGTCACGTTCTAGGACTCAAACTTATGGTTAGAGGGGATGACCTGAAATACGTTAATTAATTAGTGCAGCAGACGATATTTTAAGTGACGAATTCAGACGCAAAAACTTACTTTCTCTGAATATACGCATTCAGCGGATTCGGATTCCTGATCCCTAAAATATAGAGGTTAGCTACAATCTGGGAAATATTGCTCCTATAGTTAGGTCAGGAGAGCGATCCAAAGTTTGGACCCCATAATGTTAATTTTATTTTTTGCGCATCACGCTATATCTCGAGAATTTTTTAAGTGAATTCAAAAATTTTGAACGCTATTATAAAATTCATTTATCATCATCATCATCATATAAATCATAAATTAGGGAATCATAAATCTGAAACCGTTGTGAAAAAGGTATTTTTATTTAGAGAAAGTACGTTTTTGTGTCTGATTTCGTAACTTAAAATATTTCTTGCACTAATTAATTAGCATTTACCCCCACGAACACTTAAACTTGACTCGTAGAACGTAAAATTCCGACCACTAGATAAAAAGTTATGCCAGATAATCTGTTTCTTTCTTTGGTGCATTGCACAAAACGTGAAAAACAGCTTGGTTGGAGGGTAGGAGGCAAAAGGAGTTGAAAGATAATTTGTAACAACATTTTAAAGTATCATACGGCTCAAGCAGTTTCAACATTTTGTAAAACCACCAATCTAAACTAAGCTATTTTTATTTAAAAATATACATTTTAGTTTGAATCTTAAAGTTTAATTACTTAAATATCTTTTAGAAAAATGATTGATGATTTTCTGCTTCTTACTCAAAACAAAATATTTTATTTTATCGTTACTAAATTTGGTTTGAAAACTTACTCAATTTGGTTTATCAACTTATTTTGGTTTGAAAATTTTTAAAGTGATATAGAGCAATTTAGAAAAATTAATTAACTTAGCACGATGTTCCAAAAATATTTTTGTTAAATGATTTGCTCATGTAAAAAAGCTCCACAATTTTATTTTCTTGAACATTAAATAAGATTGGAGTTTATTTTCTTAAAAAGCATATGTAAAATGATTAATTAGATTGAGGTTAGCAAGTAGGTGAAATTTTAGCTACAGAAAAATCGACTAATAACTATTTTTTTAAAAAAAATAATGCTTTATTCATTATCTTTTATCCTTAGGTTCCTAGTGAGAGCTATCTTTCCTCATCATCTGAAATAATCATTCGTCATCGGTTCTTATCTTTTGCTTCAGAGTTGTTAACAAGTTCCACGAGTTCATTCACAGCACGTTACGAGTTCATCGACACCCGTCTTCAAGGTACACAAATTGACCACAGTGAATGCGATAGAAGATTAGACAGCAGGATCTCGAAGCAAGGCTCCTTCGCAAGTCCAAGAAATCTATTTTTATATGGTAGGGGAGGGAGGAAAAACCTGAACTGCATGTATCACTTTGTTGGTTTACCATCTGAAAGAGTGAGACTGACTTTCCGCAGAGCAAAGCTGAAAGGTGGAAACTCAATTTGTAAATATCACTTTGATCCAGTCTTACAGAGACACAGTTGCAGAACTTTCCCAAGTTCCCACGAAAGTGTAACTCTGAATCCTTGGGGCATGCTCAGAGCCTCAGAACACTGGTTGGGCTACTCTTCTCCGGTGGGTTGCTTCTGCAATGTGGATTTTGACGAAAGGGACCACCAGAATGTGGTTTTTGAGTCACTAGTGAGCAATGTTAAGCTGGATTTTGAAGTAACCGGTATGTCACATTTAGATGATTTCGAGGACTTTTTCTTTGAGGCGGAATATGAGTTTGTAAATTATACAAAGTGTGATAATGGACTTCGACGTCACAGGGGACCAAGTGGTGATGGAACTTTGTCCTTTAGAGTGCCGCCTATACTTTCTGAGGTGCCTTCTTCACATGGACCGTTGAGATGCAGATGGAAAATAGAAGCTTCGACAAATAAGCATTTATACTTGAAATTTAAGGGTTACAACGCTTCGATAGCTGAAGGTCAGCATATAATTACAATTCTTTTTAATAACACATTTGATAATCAAAAATGAATGATCATTATAAAAATCAAGGAAAGAACGAGGAGAGAGGAATATGTAGTTTACTGAGTTCTGATGAGAAATTAGAACTAAAAAGTTTCTGTCTTCCTTAGATTTAAAAAGTTTCAAAATAAATTACACGAATAGCCCTGATTGGAAAAAAACACAACAATCTCGACCTTTTAATGCACGTTAGTCCATTTTAAGTGAAATATTCCCACAAGTAATCGTTAATTCATCTCACACTGCGCAGTGTTGTTTCCAGAAATAAACGGTTATTATGATAAAAAAATTTCTATAGTTTGTTCAATCAGCAGTGACCTCTATTGACAAACTTGGTAAACTTTTTAAATTCTGCGTGAATAAATTGTTTTTAAAGCATAACTCAGCAAACTATATATTTCTATATCCTTCCTCCGCAATACTTTAACTGATAAATCTTCGGGCACTCAATGCCATTGATATATTTTTTTATTGATTAAAATAAATTATTTCTAAGTTTTATTGACTATTTAGGATGGTCCATATATATATATATAATTAGAAAAAAAATTGATAGGAAAACGTAAAGGTTTTCTTCATGGCGCATTCCCCTTTACACAATGAAAGAGGCATTTCAAAATAAAGAATAATTATCCTGAGATAAAAAAATCATTCTTTATAATACGTCTATGCCTCTAAAAAATTTAAAAAAAAATGTAATTATAAATTTGATTAAGATGAAAGACAAAAAAAAGGAATAAAACTTACCAACATGAAATAAAATAAAATGTGTTAAAATTAGATATACTAATCTGACTATTAACGAAAATTACTTAGAAGAAAAAATATATTGAATATCCTTTAAGATTTATCATATATAATTATTGATAAAAATATATTTAAAGCAAATAACATTTCAGTGCTACAATCTGTGAAAAGACATTTAATTACGAAAAAACACTTAAGAGTAATTGGAAAATTCAAGCAACAAAGCCCATAATAGGTAGAGAAGTTAATAAAAAAACATTCAAATAGGTGATATATGTGTAGAGCTTTGCATACTAACGTAAACTAGGAATAGACCCATTTATTGGTTCTCCTTAAATTGACTGTTTATAAATCAGAGCCTACAAACACATATAGAAAAACATTTATAGACTTAATCCTTCATTCATACATTCTTATTAAATAGCGAAGTTTACACGTATTACCAGCAGTCACCTGGAGTTTCCATTGTAGGTCAGAGCCTAATTCAAAGGAAAAAAAAGAAAACTGTTTATTACCCCGGACATAGAAATTTAAAACCATTTTATAGATGCAAAATTTTAGAAATTTTATTTAATAAATATTTTTGATCCACTATACTAGGTCATTCAACCAAACTATTCCATTTTTCTGTTTTTAATATATACATATACTGTAATTTTGATTCTAAATTATTCAGCTGACTTAAATATTTCTGCCTATTCACTTGCAAATCCTATTGATCGTTTTATTTTACTACGTGTTTTTGACAAGGATTTATGTATAAAGGGTGGTTATTACTGTAAACCTTGCATAATATAACTATATATATATGATTCACTTAGGCGTTCTGATAGCATGTTTTCCTTTCAGAATGCCGTTTTGGAAGCCGTATTCTAGTGTATGTAGATCCACGCGGAAAACCTGTCGCCAATGCTTGCGTAGATAGTGAACAAGTTCGCAGAGAAGAAATCGTTGAGTTCGACATATTCTCACACATGTGGTATAATGAATCGAGAGAAGGAAGCTTTACCCATGACAGAGACAGAATCTTTATTGAAATGGTTGGACCACAAAACTATGCATCTTTCATTGTCCATTGGTTAGAAGTCACGCGGCCTTTTGTTAGGACTCAGTCTGGTCAAACTTTGAGAAATGTGGATTGCCTTTTTGAATGTCCAGAGATTGGTGCTTGTATTGATCCGGAGCTTTGGTGTGATGGAACAATGCACTGTCCATCAGGCTACGATGAGTCGCCAGAACACTGTAAATATTTCCCAATCACATACGTAGCTTGCGGGGCAGCTGCTGTATTTGTTGTGATAATACTTTTAGTGTGGTTCACAATCCGTAGATGGCGCTTAAGAAAACATTTAAAAAAGAAGAACATTCGTCAATATCCACCAGACCACTATTGTTTAGAAAGCCCAATGGGATGAAAACTTAATTTTTGATACGTGAGTTTAGGGTCTGAAACATCAAGTATTTGTGTGCGATGGTGAATGCTTGAAAAGTTCATGGAAATGTGGTGACTTCTTCGTTTTTTTATATTAAAAAAATACACGAGCAGTGTAAAAAAACATTAATAAACTGATTTTGTGTGTAATTTATGAAAAAAAGTGCTTGTTATTTTGGACAATATGGCTTCAGAACACCACATATCAAGATTGATAAAACCAAAATGATTTTTTGTGGCGTTACCAAAAGAAGGAAAATGGTTATGTTTATTGAATGCATAGAAATATTTTAAATCAAATTGAACTCTTGGTGCTGAATATTGCTCAATTTCAAAAGAATTAAAAGAGTAGTTTATTAGAACATATAATATTCACTTGTTCTTAGAGCAGATTCTTGATTATTTCAGAAATGAAATTATTCCGTTTTTGTGCATGTTAAATATAAAGCACCAAATCTCTACCTTAAATAAGGCATTTTAAAGATCTTTTTTTTTTTTTTTAGTTGAAAGTATTAATAAATTTGTTTCTTATCCTTTTTCGAACTTGAATATACTTCATATTCAAAAATCAATATTGTTTTCCAAAAAAAAAAATTCTTTTAATAAATAATGAGTCAGAAAAAAATACTATTCTCCTAGTAGAATTTGTTAATATTAACATGAACAGTTTATTTATTTTTAAGTTATGATATTGCAATTAAAAATTTAATTAAAGCAGAAAAAAATACTATTCTCCAAATAGAATTTATTATTATTAACTTGTACAGTTTATTTGTTTTTAAGTTATGATATTGCAATTGAAAATTTAATTAAAGCATTTAATTGCTTCAAAACAGAGTCCATTTCAATGATTATGATATCAAAATCGCAAAACATGTAACGCAATTCCTTTTTTTTTTAAAAAAAACACTAACAAAAGCAAAAACAATAAAAAGTAACCACAAGGCTCATAGTCTGATGTGTTATTTTTCTTGTGTAAAAACATGGTAATTTTAAAGCAAACTTTTGTACGTATTGTAAATAGTGTATTTATAAAAAATTTGTACGTCTTCAAAATTTTTGATACTACTTATAACTCATTTTAAAGACTACTTTATCGTAGTTTGTATTAGGAAACAATTTAAACGACATTTAAAAGAAATACTAGCTTTAAACGCATGCATAGTAACTTAATGAATGTTAATATAAACTTTTCTGTTTGACTTTGGATTAACTTGAATGCTTTAAAATTTTCTCTTTTCCTTGCAACAGTTTGGAAAAGTCAACAAAATGTCTATTTTAATTAATAAAAAAAATGACAATTTATTGTTATGCTGAAAATGGTGCTAAGTGCATGCAAAAGCTTTTTTCTCTAAACATAAATTCATTTTTAGAACTTTTGATTCTTATTGCCTGTTCAATTCTCTTCGCGTTTAACTTTCTTATGACATAGTATGAAACAACTATATTCAAAGTCATTAAAATGTTTTGAATTTCTTCTGAACAAATAATAATAAAACGCCATACGTTTTTAACTTTCTCTAATTTAAGTTTATGTAATTATTGTTACTTTGTAGGAATAGCTAATAAATAGTTTTTTTAAAAAAAAAAATTAAAATCAGCATGCAGTCAATGCGGCTGTTGTCTCTTAATCCTTACCGAAAATACTTATTTCTTAGTGTGAAAAAGTTTTTCCTGTCAGTTTTAAGATTATATTCATGTTATTTTTTATGATCTCAAATGTGAAGAAATACGAAAATTAATTAAAATTTGACATAACATAATTAGATGTACCTAATGGTACTTATAAAAAAGAAAGTTAGAACTTTTTTTAGTTCAAAATATCAGAAATTGTGAATGGAAGAAAAAAAATTAATTAAGAACGGAAAAGAGTCGAAAAAAAATATTTACTACACAATATTATGTAGCATATTTTTCAAATTCATTACTGTTGAATTTAATGAAAGGTTTCATTCGAAGAATTTTCTTAAAATTATTATGAATGCAATTAATTATTAACTTCTGTTAACTATTTTTCAATTATGGTAAAACAGTATATTTTTTATTTTTAATGTATGAAACTAATAGTTCATTTAAAACCCATCTCATCGACAATTTAAGAAAAAAAATAGATTACTGACATTAATTGTTTTTAAATGCAAAGTAATTTCATTATAGATACATCAGAACAAACTGTTACCAAATTCAACTTCATTCATATTTCATTTTCTTTCACTGAGATGAAAAGTGTTGTCGAAACTACCAGAACAAGGAAAAAAATTACCGTGTTGCTCTCGGTAAATTTTGCGATAGTTCATTGGTAATGACTTTGCTAAAATTAACAATAAAATACGATTTTCTAATATGTGAGACAATTTGGTAAGTGTGGTTAAGTTTAGTGTGATACCATAGATCATGGCATAAAAAACCTTTATTCGATTACAATTATTTTTCAGTTGTGTATTTTTACTAAATGTGTGGTAATAAGAACTATAATTTTGAAAACCAGAATTTTCAATTAATTACTACCATACGAACGCAAAAATTACAAAATGAGTGGTTTAAATAGAGTATGTTTTGGTTTTACTAACCAGATTTATGATAATTTTTAATCAGAAAATTCATTACCATGCAGTGTGGTACTTATATAAGAATTTTTTCCCCCGTGCTTTGGTATGATGCCATTTGCTGCATTTAAAATCCAACTGAATCTATACTAAATTTTGCAGGAAAAAACATAAAATATTAAAAAAAACTAAAAAAAAAAAATATATATAAGCAANAACAATAAAAAAGCAAAAAAAAAAAAAAAACAAAAAAAAGACATAGAAATATCTAGTGCAGGCATTTATAATTTCAATTCATTAATCTTATCAAAAAAGTATAAACAGTATTTTACTTTTTCTAGCGGATTTCTTAGGGAAATTAATATAATATATATAACTAAAGTGTGTACGAAGTTGGAAAAAAAATCCTTCAACCCTTTTTATGTTTGGAATATTCTCAAAAATTTAAAAATTGTTTACTTATAACTTATCTTTAATCTAGATTTATTTAACACATTATGAGGTAAAAGAGGTTGAAAAAAGATACGCAATTTTTTAAAACAAAATTTATGACATAATCATTAATGTTTCCCTTTTTCTCATGTTCTAATATCCTTTAGTAAGAAAATCAGCAGATTATACAAATAAAGAATATTTTAATCTAAACAAAAAATTGTTTTATTTCAAATAAATGAAAAAAAAGTAAAATATATTTTCTAAAATACTTTTCATTCAAGCAAAATAAATTGTTTTTGTTTTCCTTAACTTTTAAAATACGCCATTAGGTTTTTTTAAATTAATTTTCATTTGATAATTCTGTTAATTATACTTCTAATCAGTGTTAGGAAAAAAAACAGCCAAACTCAACCAGTTAGTTAGTTAAAACGTAAAACTGAGAGATTGCCTTCGATTATTTCTGTGGGAACTTTTAATGAATCAATAAAAAACAAATATTTGCTATTTATTTTATACTTATTACGATGACAATGATATTGGCACATTTAGAAAAAAAAGCATGCCAGAATAGGATAAAATTACAATATTTCTGCCTCTACGGGAGCAACAGAAAGCACAGTAAATGTTACCGAAGTGCTTCTGTAATGATTTTGGTAAAACTAGCAATAAAATATAGTATTATAATATGTTTTAAAATTTGGTAAATGTGATAAATTTTGGTAATCATGATACCTCAGAGCATGTCATAAAAACAATTTATTCGACTAAATATACGATTTAGATCTGTATGTTTCACTAAATTGTGTGGTTATTAAAAACTACAGTTTGGAAAGAGTTTTCGGTAAATATTTAGCGTATGAATGAAAAAATTACCAAAAAATGGTTTAAGAAACGTATATTTTAGCTTTATTAACCAGATTTGTTTTTCCTGAACTTTCTTTACCATATAGTGCGGAAATTTTACCAGAATCTTTTTTACCGTGTATGCTGATCAATATTGCGCAAGTTGTGAAACCTTAAAAATAATTTGATTAACCCTTTATTTACGGTCGACACAAATGATGGATCAGAATAGCTAGTGTTATCATGTCAAGCACCGTAATCAAAATGTTATTTGAACCTTGTTTTCATTCAAGTTGCACTTTAAAAATGATTACTAAAAATTCATGTATTTTACTTAATTATTAACGAACTCATTCTCAGGAATATACTCTGAGTGTCAACTTTCAATGTGATTCTGATCAAACTTTTCAATGTGATGAAATTAATTTTCAAATTGAAGACATTACTATCTTCATTTGCTTGAGGATAGTGATTTAGTCAAACACATTGCATATAATGTGTCGCATCAATAAAAGCAAATGATTCGCAAATACAACATTAGATAAAATAAGCATGAAGTAAGCAGCTTTCAGTCACTGTCAGGAATCGTACCCTAAGAAATCGCTTAACATTTAAGCATACTAACCTCTGTATCATCCCGTCATGCAGAATAAATTCAAATGGCTTTAAAATTAAACAAAATGAATCTTGAGAAATTCCTATATTATACTGAGCTGAGATGATATACGAATGAGTAAACAGTACCTTTAAAAATCTGTGATTTTTATAACAAAGTGATCGTCAAAAATAACGAAATATAGCCTTATAATTTCTCAATTGTTTTAAATAAGAGTTTATTTCTGTCTGTGTAAACCACAGTATTAAGTGGGAGAGAGAAGAAGTAAAATGTTAGGTAATATGTTAAAATTCGTCGTCTTAGTACCGCCAACTATAGAATTTGAATGGCAATATGGTTCAAATTCATCCAAAATTTCAAACAGTGTATTAAAAATATTCTTGTTATGTATGTTGCATAAAAATAAGAGAAACTTGCATAATTTAGACCTCTGGTATTTTTTACTCAGTATTTAACAGCTACTTTTTATTTCCATTATCCATGCTTGTAAATAGAAAGAAAATACACCGAAGAGCCATTACATTATGGTCACCCTCCAAATGCAACAATGGGCTCGCCCAGGTTTTTATGGTTTCTCGCCCAAAAACAATGTTTTCATGGGGTACATTAGGACCCATAATCCTCATAGAACAATCCCTGACGTCTGTAAGTTACTTGAACATAGTTGCAGACCAGGTTCCCCCATTCATGGCAGCAGTTTTTCCTGCTGGGGATGGTGTTTACCAACAGTATAATGCACCATATCATAGGGGTCGAATCGTCATGGATCGGTTCGGGGAACATTCCAGTGACTTTCAAGTCCTGTCTTGGACCCCAAATTTACCTGACCTTAATCCAATCGAGCATTTGTGGTCCTACTTGGAAAACCAAATTCGTGCTGCCACGTTACCCCCTTCAAATGTGAGGGAATTGCAGGACCAGTTGGTGAGCGCTTGGTACCAGATACGTCAGACTACCTATCAGCACCTTGTGGAATCAATGCCACGGTTGGTGCTAGAGGGCTAAAGGTGGTCCTACATGTTATTAGCAGGATGGTCATAATGTAATGGCTCTTCGGTGTATATTGATTGTGTTAACGCAATTGCTTTTCATTAAAATTCGTT